CAGTAGCCTCCTCCTAACTGGTTTTCTGCTACTAGATTGCCCAACCTTCCTTCTGAGGAGTGGCTGGTGGGTTTGAACTGCCAGCCTTCTGGTTAGCAGTCAAATGCCTTAGGCACTAATAGATAGATATAAACAGAACTTTGAATCCAAGGAAAATACATACCTCTCAAATATATATGAGGTCATCATAAAATTGACCATGTTTTAGGCTAAAAAGAACAATTTAAAAAAATTGTTGTTGTGTGCTGTCGAGTCAGATCCAATTCATAGTGACCTCTCCTTGGGTTTCCGAGGAGGTATCACTATGGAAGTAGATTACCCAACCTTCCTTCCGAGGAGTGGCTGGTGAATTTGAACTGCCAGCCTTCTGGTTAGCAGTCAAGTGCCTTAGGCACTATGCTACCAGAGCTCCAATAAAAAAAATTAGAAACCTCTTATATATGATGGTCAACATCCTCAAAACCAACCAAGTAGAACATCCCCCACTGAGAAATATGTGTGTGTGTGTGTGTGTATGTGAGGATTGCAAACAAGAAAAACTTTTAGAAAACATACAATTCCCATGTTATGGATTGAATTGTGTCCCCCAAAAATACATGTCTTAAATCCTAACCCCTATGCCTGTAGTTGTAATCCCATTTGGGCATGGATTTTCTTTGCTGTGTTAGTATTAGTGAAAGGTGTGTTTTAAGTCAATCTGTTTAGAAATATGAAAGAGCAAATTAAGCAAGCAAGCAAGCAGAGAAGGGGAAAGATCAATGCTATGCCATATGATCACCAAGGCACCAAGGAACAGAAGCTAAAAAGAGACGTGGACGTTTGCCAGAGCTGACACAGTGAGAAAGCCTTTCCCTAGAGCCAGTACTCTGAATTCAGACTTCTAGCCTCCTGGTGGCATAGTGCCCAAGGCATTTGACTGCTAACCAGAAGGCTGGTAGTTCAAATCCACCAGCCACTCCTCAGAAGGAAGACTGGGCAATCTACTTCCATAGAGATACCGCCTAAGAAAGCCAAGGAGGGGTCGCTACCAGTTGGAATTGAGACAACGGCAGTGAGTGAGTTTTTAGCCTCTTAAACTGTGTGAAAGTAAATTTCTGCTTGTTAAAGTCACCCACTGTGATATTTCTGTTATAGCAGCACTAGATAACTAAGACACCATGTGATAAGAATTTTCCCAGAACTCAGGAAAAGAAAAATTATTAAACTAATTTTTTTGAGACTAAAATAACACTCAACTGAACAGAGGTAAAATGTCACAAAACTATAAGTCAATCTTACTTATGAATATAAATGTGAAACTCCTAAATAAAATTTTAACAAGATAAATCCAGTAGCCCATTAAAAAATCATTTACAAGTGGAATTTAGCTCAGAAAAGTAAGGATGATTCACTGTTAGAAAATCCAGTAACAAGTTAGGTTATAACAAATCATATGATATCTTAACCAGGGGTCTTCAAACTAAGTCTTATGGGCCAAATCTATTTGTATAAGTAAGTTTTTGAAACACAGCAACACTCATTTGTTTGCATATTTTATACTGTTGCTTCTTTATTAGGAAGAGGTGATGCGTAGTTGTAACAGAGACCAAATAGCCCTCAAGCCTAATGTACTTAGTATCTGGCCCTTTTTTAAAAAAAGTTTGCTGACTCCTGATCAAAATGAAATGAAATGAAATAGATACATAATAAGCGTTCAATATGCATTTCTGTTTAAAAAGAGGAAAAAAAAAATGTTGCAAAAAAAGAGTATTAGAAAATTCCCTTCACTCAGTAAAGGGGACTTCATCTGCAATAATCTGTTGCCTTCGAGTGGATTCTGATTTACAGCAAACCTATAGGACAGAGTAGACCTGTCCCATAGGGTTTTCAAGACTGTAATATTTCTGGAAGCAAACTGCCACATATATGTCCTGCAGGGCAACTGGTAGGTTTGAACTCCTGAACTCCAGCCAAGCACTTAACCAAATAAACAAGCAAACAAGGGGGGAAAAAAAAACAGATTGCATTCAAAAGTGAAACAAATAACAGACCATATCTTGGGATAAATTTGTCAAGGAATGTACAAGACCAGAAGACTTTACAGAAGGAGTAAGAGAATATCTGGAAAATAACTGACACAATTTGTAAAGATCTCAATTCTTTCAAAATTAATTTACAAATTGAATGAAATTCCAACAAGACAAGATTTTGGGTATTACTGAGGTGATTGTGAAATCTTTCTAGAAAACTAATATTACCAGCCATCAAAATATATTTAGAACTATGTAGTTCTCTGTATCCACAGGTCCCACATTTGTGGATTCAGCCAACTGCTGGTTGAAAACATTCAGAGTGGGGGGGGGGGGCAATTAAACCATCAAAACAATCTCTCAAAGGCTAAAAGGAGCATAAAGTCCTATTTGCATAGCATTTAGATTGTATTAGGTATTATAAGTAATCTAGAGATAATTTAAAACATAGGGGAGGATGTGTGTAGGTTATGTGCAATTACTGTGCCATTTTACATAAGGGACTTGAATATCTGTGGATTTAGGTATCTATGGTGATCCTGGAACCAATCCACCATGGATACCAAAAGATGACTACTAATTTTTAAATGTGTAACTGTTAATGTAATGGATAAATACATCAATGAAACAATAGAGTTCTGAATCAAAAATATGAATATATGGGAATTTAGCATGTGTAGGAGGTAAGAGTATTATTGTAACAGAAACATCGTATTTATTTTCTGTAAGTCTAATTAAATCTGACTCTGAGCATTTTCTATACTGTAATTTACTATACTTGAAGTAAATCCATCTTAATCATCCTTGCTGGTGTCAGGGTGAGAGGCAGGGAATAGTGGGCCACTTCATCCTCCACAGTTGAACAGGAACCAAATAACATTACATAATACATAGACAAAAAAGAAGGGCCTTCTTATCTTTAGAGTTCAGCCATCATAGCTTCATTTTCCAGACTCATATCACTGATAAGGAATGCCTGCTTTCATGCTAAGTTTGGCCACAGGGGCAGCAATATCTCCCTAGTTCTACCATTCAGCTGTTCACCCATTGACATCTTGCCATCAACCTGAAGGGAGTCATTGGTTCCTACTAAGGGAACATAGTGAATTCCATCCCATTCCAAGATTGGGAATTGATCTATTTTTCCCAGTCATCCTCCCTTTCTCTTCCTCTCTCTTTCCCATATTCCTGTCTTCCCTCTTCAACTGATCATCATTGTCTTTTTCCCTCCTCCACCTCTATCTCTTTCTTTAATCTCTTCCTAATTCTTCTTCCCTTTCTACCTAAATAACTAAATCCTACTATGTTTTAGAACTATTTCTGTCTTTGGTGTTGATTATCTTTCCTCAGAATAACCCCCTAATTATCAATAAGAAAGTCCAAATTTCCTGAAGCAAAAATGCTCTATTGTATCAGAACAAATTTTATTTATTAAACTCTAAACTCTTGAAGTTTTTCAAATAAGTAATTAAATGAGGCAGACTTCTGGTAAGATGGTAGAATAAGCAGATGTGCTACACAGACCCTCCTCAACAAAGCAAAGAGCAAGCAGTTGACACAGATACAGAAGATAATCCTGGAGTCCTGAGCTTTGAA